TTTGTTGCTCCATGCACTTTTCTGGAAAATTTTGTCAAAATTAATGCTTAAATATGATTTTGGGATGGTTACTTTGGAATGTTTATTCAAAAGGAGCTGTTAAAAATTTGGGTGGTATCATGAATTTTCAACATTTGAGTGATACTTCAACTTGTTGCTGCAGAAAACTTAATTTCTGATCAGGGCAAATCCTGTGTCTGAGTTGTGCTGATGTTCTACTCTGCAGTAGATACTTCTCGTGCTAGTAAGAGACAATCCTGCTGTGAAGCTTATAAGCCAATGAAAGAAATTAAAGTACTTCAGTGTTACTCCTCTCATCTTTTTATCATTTTCCACCTTTGAAACGGGGGAGTAAGTAAGGTTTAAAGTAGGGTACAAAAAATGAAACCAAATTAAAAATTTACCTTTCAAAATTAAACTTCTAATTTTTTTTTTCCTGAAGAAGGGCTGATGTAGAGTGTTTCCCTTACACAGACATTCCTGAAAAAGAACATGCATTTTTCCTTCCAGTTCAATACTGTAAGAATGATTTTTGTCAGGTGGTTTTCAACCCATGTTTGTGTCACTGCCTTTAGCTGGGTCCCCAGCACTCCCTGTGCTTGCACACTGATTTCACTGCTGCATCTTTTTTGTTCTTGTTTTTCATTTATACCATCCATCTTCTTTCTTTTCTTGCAGATTGTGATATCTTTAGTCTGAACTTTTTAACTGGAATCAGAACTGGATGTTGGGGTCACTTTCTTTTACTGTACAAATCCAATGGCATTAAACTGCCCTAAAAATCCAGATCATTTGTCTAAAAAGTAAATGTTGTTTCTGTTGCCAGCAGTCACACTGGTGAACATAATTGTATTAACAAAAAAATTGTTCTGTTCCTCAAATACTGTATTGAGAAAAATGAAAAATTCATCGTGGAAACCTTGTATTCTATTTTTAGTTTAAGTCACTAATAAAACTGTGAATGTCAAAGAGGAGTTTCACTGAACTCTGCTTAGAAAAATGTGATTTTAACATGCCTGTTCAGTTTTTTCCTATTAAGTTAATCCAAAGACTTATTGAATAAATTTAAGCAAAGTAGACCTTATTATAAATATTAAAAACTAAAAATGTCTTTTTGCTTTCCTTTCAATGGACTACTATTATGTAAATATGTGAGTAAAACTTATTTCAGGCATTTTGGAGTATCCCAGTGACACACTGCATTTTACAAGTACTGAAATATTTGTATTCTGGAGGAGAAAATGGGCTTAAAATTCAGAGCAGGAATGATTATTTTTTCTAAAGGGGAAAAAAACATGAAAGCAATATGGTGGTAATTCCCTTATTGTGATTTATTTTTGGCTACACCTTGCAGCAACTGTGTTCTCCAAACTGAAGGGTGCTTAATTCTTCACTTTCTTCTGTACTCTGCAGGTCCCATAACAACAAACTGCAGTCTACAGCTTCTTAGAGTTCAGCGTGTTAACCAAACACACGAGCAAGGATCTGGTTGTCTGACAATTTTTAATTAAGGAGCCAGATGTTTTTAGTCAGGTTATCCTGACAAGACTTGATGTAAACTGCGTTTTTATTGGTCACAACAGTCAGATTATATTCTTGGCTTATTTTGTCCAAAGGACAAAGAAATAAAAATCAGCAGCACCACTTTCTTGTCAAGATCAAATTGTTGTACTATTGTGGCAGAAGCAGGAAAACTTTGTTTTGTTGAAGGAGAGAGAGAAAGAGAGCAAGAAAAAAGATACAGTAAATGGGGTCACGTTTAACTCCATGGAAATGCCACGTCTGTTCTTCAGTGAAGAAGCTGGTTTAAAGTCCACACAGAAAACTTTGACTGTATTTATTTATTGTTGCAAAAAAGACGCTTTTTTATTGCTGCCCTCATTTGTCAGCTAATTATTTTTTCTTATAAAATCCAGCCCTGGTTCCATGTAATCCATTCTGTATCTTAACATGATTCCTGTAGGTAAAAGTACAAGAAGACCTCTAGATGTCTTTTCTTTCTATGAAAGGAGCTGCTATGTACACATGTGCACACACACAGGACTGGGAATCAACAAGGAGTTTATCATTCATGGTAGATAAAAACAAGCTTGCATAAAATTTGGGCTGAGTGGTCATGGACTACAGACTCTGTTGCCTTGAATATAACAAACAGTACAATTTGTCATTTACTCTGCACCAGACTGAACTGAGTGAAATCTATTTGAAGGTATCTTGTTTGTAAACATTTGTCAGATTCTAATTTTTTTTTCTTTTGTATTAAAATTCAAAATATGGATGTATATGAAACAAAATAAATGGAGATCATTGTTCTCCCCACAGCAGTAGGTGTGTTTGAGTGTGCGCTGCCACGTGTGTGAGACACTTTGGGGATCTGTGCAGGAGTGTAGGGATTGCAGGAGCAGGGGTGGGAATGGCCAGGGAGTGGGACCCATCCCCATCAGACATTCCACAGGGTGCCTGGAGGGCTGTGCAGCTGGCACAGGGCAGGAGCTGTGCTGGTTCCAGCCCTGCCCGTGCAGCTGGCACAGGGCAGGAGCTGTGCTGGTTCCAGCCCTGCCCGTGCAGCTGGGACAGGGCAGGAGCTGTGCTGGTTCCAGCCCTGCCCGTGCAGCTGGCACAGGGCAGGAGCTGTTCATGGTTCCAGCCCTGCCCGTGCAGCTGGCACAGGGCAGGAGCTGTGCTGGTTCCAGCCCCGTTATCCTGCTCAGACATTCCCACAGGGCAGGAGCTGTTGCTGAGGTGTTCCTGCCCACTGGAGCTCAGTGACCTTTGCCAGGTGCTCTGGGAACATGGAGTGCCACCTGGAATTGTGTCCCTGGGGGCTCCTGCCCTGCCCTGAGGCTGAACTGGAGCCCAAGAAGATGCAAATTGCAGGTGAGGAGGCTTCTCCTTCCCTGGGTGTCTGGCTTGCTCTGGTGCCTGTCTGCAGTTCCCAGCCCTGGTTTCTCTGCAGCTCCTCACCCGCCTGACCAGCCTTTGCACTAACTCACAGTCAGCTTCTGTTCTGCAGTGCTCTGGGATTTTCCTGATTTATGGATAAGCTCCTTTTGGGTTTAACCTCACACCTTGCTATGCAAGAACCTCCTCTGTTATTTTTCTTAAAAAAGATGTTGCTACTGACCACCCTTTCTTACACTTCCAGCTCAGGTGTTCAGGTTCTTCTGGGGGGATTTTATCTACTAAAAACCCGTGTGTTTTTGTACATACAAATGTTGTCATTTAACCAATCTGTGAAAATTACTAATTGTTCAGTGTGAAAACAATAATCCATTTATGCTTCTGAAAGTCAAAGAGTAGTTGCATTTAGGTTATGTTGTCCTTTGACGTTTTTAAAAAATGCTGCATATTGTAAGCATTGTGTTTTAATGGGACAAGGAAAAATCTCATCTTTAGCAGCACTGGGACATATCCTGCATCTCATCCCAACTTCTCAGCATTTCTGTACTATTTATTCATACCTAAATCCATATTGACATGGTTTAAACCTTTCCTACGTGTAGGCAATAGATTGCTGTTTTTAACAAATTGTGGCAAACCGAAGAGTACTTTTTTGTACCTTATAGGACACATCATCCTAGACAAATAAAGTAATGTGTTTGACATGGATTTGGTGGTGTTTCTAATGAAACATTGATAATGTTATTGGATATAGATCTTGGTTGATTAGGGAAATGATCCATACATGCAATTTAATGCTGCTTATTAATCACCCAACCCAAACCATTCTGTGATTCCATGAGAGCCTGTTTCAGTGTGTCCAGTTGCCATTGGGCAGGTCAAGCTTCTTCTCTGGATTTACTAGTGGTGATGTTTTATAGTTAAATGGTGTTACAGAAAATAAATCACTTGTAATTAATCCCCACCTGCCATCAAGCATAAAGTTCATAAGATTTGTGATCTCTGCTCAGTCCTTGTCTTCTTTGTATTTTATAAATTATTGCAACAGTTGTTTTGAAATGGTCATGTGTTGTAAGATATTGATAATGTGAGCTGTGCCAGCTTGATTTTCCTTTTCTGTCTCCTCAAATTTGAAGTAATTATCCTCAATCTCAGTTTAGTTCATGCAGAAGTTAATGGAGATTTAAAGTACAATAAGAAGTTGGGCTTACCCAAAAGTCTCAAGTAAACTCCTGGACAGGCAGGGTGAGAACAGTTATTCCTTTACACCCAGATTTCTGTGTGGTGGCAGCAGAATTTTCCATAGTTATCCCGCTGGAAAGGAAATTACTGACTGTCAGGTACCAAAATTACCATGGCAGCTGTTGAACATCAGTGCCCTCCTGTTCCCAGTGTGGTTATTGCAGGGAGGGTTTTGGAATAGCAAGTGCAAGACTGGAAATCCTGGTCTGGGAATTGTTCAGGAGGTGTGTTTAGTATGTGATGAGCCTGGTGACAACAGTCCTGCTCTGCTCCAGCCCTGTCTCAGTGGGACTGTGACACACAGGGATTTGTTGCTCAGTGCTGTGGGAACATTTTAAGGAGGGACCTTCCAATGAAGAAGGGAAAGGTAAGAGGACTTGTAACACAGGAAGAGAACGTGGGATAAATCACTTTTCAGGCTCATCTGTATCCCAGTGTTCTGTGTCAGTTATGGGCACTGAACTCGGGCTTGGGGTGTCCTTAGCACTGTGTTTGTCCCTTCCCAGAGCCAGGCCCACGTGTTGGGTTGTGCCCACGCTGCCCTGGGCTGCAGCAGGACAACAGCAGTGGGGCTCTGCTGCTGCTCTGGGATGCCTGGAGGAGTTGCTGCTTAATCCCTGGACTTCCCCTGAAAATAGAAAGAAAGAAACTCGAGATGCACTGTAACCCTTCCTCCTCCTGTCCCTCCCAGTCACTCCAGAGCTTTGATTCGTTGCCAGAACAGTCCTTCTGCCAAATCAAACCCCCTCCGATTTTCTCAGGAAAATTCCGTCAATCCATGCAAAGTCTTTCACATGCCAAAAGTGAGAAATGGTGTTTTTTAGGTAGACTCATGCTGTGAGTAAATTTCTATCCTCCAGTAAGAGCCTTGTGGGTCCCAAACAGGGGATGTTTGCTCTTGGTATTTGGCTCCGTGTCAGGAAACACTTGATGCAGTGTAGCCCATCCCATCCCCTGCTCCGTGGCTTTCCAGTGGCACCAAATGAAGCTGCAGAGGTGTGTGACCAGTACAGTGTGTCAGAACTACCTTGTTTCAAAACAGAAAATGCTTCTATAGAAGCCACTGCTTCCTGTGGCAGGTCACATCATATCGCTGAGTATGTGGGGTTTTAAGCTGTACTGCATTTTTTACATTTCTTAACATAAATATGTATCAAATCCTCAGCCAGCTTGTCACACAAGGAGATGCCTTTGTGCAACATCATTACAGAAGTTTTTTGGGTCTTCCAGAACCCAGGAGACAATGAAAGAAGAACTTCATGAGCATTTTCTTAGTTTCTTCTACAGACTTATTATTTGTGAATACTGACTGGGAACAACAAACATCTCAATTTCACCACACCAAAGGTAATAAAATATTGTCTTTTTGATTTAAAAAGTAACTTTGCTCTTGTGCAAGTACAAGCTTGGCAATATTTCTGCTGGGGAATGGCATTCAGCAAGCTCTGGGACAAGGTGCCCTGGCACACCCAGTTTGTGCAGCCCGTGCTCATTTTGCATTCCCTGCGCCGTCACTGGTAAATGCAACCAGGCATTTGTGTTTTGCAGTTCTTGATTTGCTTTCAGTCAGTGCTCATACACTCAAATTATTACATTCTATTCTGTATGCTTTGTGTGAACATCCAGCTCTGCTGGAAGAATGGTGTGATTTTCAGAAATACCATGGACATGGTTGACGAGACAAAAATAATACAAACGGTACTCAGTGGTATTGGTTTCTCTGAAATCAAATGCTTTAAGCAGAACTGTGAAAGCACAGTGAACATCCTGTGTAGATAAAGTTGTGGCATCATCTAATGTGTTCAAGGTGAAGGGTTCAAAGTGCAGTTGTGTACTGCTGAAAAAACTGCCAGAATTTTGCATTACAGTCACTACAGATTATTCAGGGCACACTGCAGCAGGGGAAGCAACAACAACCTGTGGCTCTGAAAGCAGCTGGAGCAAATTCACGGCCGGTTAACATTCCCTGGAGTGACTTCTGCGCTGGGGCTGCCGGGGGTGCCTGCTGGAGGCACCCAGCGCTGGCTGCAGCACAGAGGCCGCGGCTCCAGGCGGGAGCGCTGCCATGCCAGGGGCGCTCCGAGGGCGCGTCCCGCTGCTCCCGTCCCGGACGGAGCCCCGGAGCCTTAGGCACACTTGGAGCGCGCCGCCCTCACCCTGAGATCGCTTTTCCTGGTGAATCTCCTGGCGTAGCCGCTGCCGCTGCCCAGCCAGCCGTCCCCCGGGCGCAGCCGCCCGCGCAGCGCCGGCAGCAGCTGGGCGGGCACCCGGCGGCGCTTGTGGTGGATGTGCCCCATCACGATGTACCTGCTGCCTGCAACGACACACACCAAGCCCACAGCGGCGGTCAGCAGCGCTGGGAACAGACGGGAAGTTGTGCCTGTGGAAACGTCCTGGACACGGGGCACCCTGAGCTCCGCTGGCACGGAAATGGTGATTTGCTGCTGGGGGAAGTGCTGCTGTTTGATAAACTTGCACTTAAAAGTGTTACAGATGGATAATGAGATGATTGGCTCTCGCAATTAAGGGATAAGTATTGTGTGAATATTAAGAAAAGCTTTAGTGATGTACGGTTATGTTGTTGCAGTTTAGGTGTCCTCTGCTCTCCCCATGGTTCCCTTTCCCCTGTATTGTTGCCATCAGACAGCCTGGGCTGTCCAGGACAGGTAAAAAGGTGAGCACATCTGCCCCTTGCATGGGGCAGTGGGGAATGGAAGAGCTCATTGCTCAGGGGGTGAGCCATGGCAACACCTGACCTCCAATCCAGTTACAAGGAAGCAGCCTGCACCGACAAACGGCAGAGAGCTGACTGACAGACTTTGGGAGGGGCTGATGCAACCCCCAGGGTGTAAAAGACTGAGCATCCACCTTGAAGATGAACCAGCCACGTGGTATCCACGAGGGCAGTTCCCAGTGCTGCGAAATTTTCCTATTTCCTTTTGTTGTATTTTTGTCAAGGTTTAATAAACCTCTTTAAATTTTCAGAGTGAGCAGTTGTTTCTCACAAAAGGAAAATGGAATGACTTAAAGACACCAGCTTAAGCTCTTGGTTGTATTGTTTTAGGAGCCCTGGAAACTTGCCATCATTTTGGAACTGGACAGAATTAAAGGGCTGCACTGGTACCTGACTGCTTCATGCAGCTGGTTCTCTTGCAGAAGTTTTAAGAAACTTTTAAGAAAAAGGTCTCAACTTTGAGTAAATACTTTTCTTCCAAATTCTCCCAACAACCCAGGCTAAGCCTATTAAAGCAGGGCAGACTGAGATTGCAGTGCATGCAGAGAAACAGCAGAATGGATTTAGCTGGAATGATTTACCAAGTTTGAAGTCTGGGCATGGTTTAGTGCAGTTCCAAGTATCCACAACCAGGATGTGAGCTCGGAAGAAGGCGGCGTCAGGAGTGACGTACAGGCGGCTCATCTTGTACAGCCCAGCACTGTCCACCAGGAGGGTGATCCACTGCACCCCATCCCCCAGCTTCTCCAGGTTATAGACAATTCCATTCACTGCTGCTTAAAGGGAGAGGGAAAATAGGATCAGGTTTTATATCGTGGCAATTTTCAGGGTATGTCTGAAGGCTGTAGTTTGAAATGCTGTGAAGGAAATGTCAGCAGGAATCCTTTGGCTCAAGAGTGGGCAGTAGGAATTCAAATAATCACATTTGGTGAGGTCATTGCCTAAAGTTTTGCTGCTCTGCAAACCTTGTGCTTTACAGGTTTGAGATGTTTCTTAGGGAAGAAGGAAATAGGTTTAGTACCATTTTCTATCCTGCTATATAAAAAGTGGGCATACTTACCTAACAAAGTAAAATTTTCAAATTTAAAACTTCCCAATGAAGTACAAAGCCAAGCAGGTAATGAAACACTTTGGCTTTTGAAATAAAAGGCCCTTGTCATACCAAGAGACAGGGGCACGTGTAGGTTGTGTTGGGAGCTCAGACAATCACTTCATGCTGCTCTCCCAATCTCTGGCTCTGGCAAATGCTGAGCTGAGTGCAGGGCTGGGAAAGCAGCTCTGTGTCAGTGGGGCCACTGCACCTGGTGTTCCACCTGCCTCAGGGGGAGAACTCTCATCCAGTCATTTATTCTTTTATCTGCACTGTAAACATAAAGAAAGGAAAAGCTCTCTCTGATGGCTGCTGTGGAACCTTGGCTCATCTGTTGCTCAGATTTTTTTCCTACCTGTCCTTTCAATTTAGGAGCAGAGCTGTTTGTTAAGGGCTAAAACACACAGAGGTCGGGTTGCTGTGGAGCCCATGTTGGACAGGAATGTGTGAGAGTGGTAAAACCAAAGCAGGACAGCATTTGTAGAAAGCACTTCCTGACTTCTCCATTTAGAGAAAACAGATGTCTCCTAACGTGTTTATGTTCTACAAATGGAAACATCTGTTACCACTGGGCTTGTATTTTCCTTATCTCTTAAAATACTGTGAGAAAAAGTTGGTATCTGTTTCACAACTCTGTAAGCACAAGGCAGGGTTTCAGTCAGAAAATGCTTGTCCTTAAACAAAGTCTGTACAAAAATACCAGGCTGTTTCCTGCCACCTTTAGTTACATCAATGTGAACACAAGGACTAAAGACACTGAATCCTAAGGAACTTCAAGAAGAATCCTCTCTACAGAGAGGATCACAGCCTTCTTTCTGTTTGGTTCACCATTTTATTTTAATTTCAAACTTCAATCCCCAAAATCAAACTTGGTCTAAATAGTAATAGATAAATAACCCAGCTCCAATGTTTAATCTGAGAGTTCTAAAACAACTGGGTTTTTTTTCAGTTCCACTGACTAGTCCCAAGGACACTGTTCCTCCAGAGGAAACAGAAAACAGGGCAGCCCAAGGCAGGGAAAGGATAATGTAAGTGTTTATGAAGAGTTGTGATGGGTCCTTTTTGAATATTTGGTAATTATTTAACATACTTACCGTATCTTAACCACAGTATTTTAAAAGCAGCAGCGCAGTATCAGCGCCAAGTGCGCAGAAGGTGCTCAGTGCTGCGGGCTGAGGGGACAGCACCTACCGAACTCGCTGGCACAGAGAGCCTCCCCTTCATCGCGCTCCTTCCTGCACTCGCTCGGGCACACCTTCTGCCTGTCACCGTCTGCAAAGGGCACACACAGCCTGAGGGGGGCCCAGGGCCGTGCCGGGGGCAGCCGGGGAGCCGTGGCAGCGTGTCCCTTACCTTCCCCCAGCGCGGCCCGGTACCCGGGCGCCCCGCGGTTGGTGACCCACGAGGGTTCGGGGATGCCGCTGGAGGGCTGGGGCTCTCCGGAGGGCATCCCCTTCCCTGCTCGGTTGGACTCCCCCGGGTCGGGGCTCGGCTGGGTGCGCAGCAGGGGCACGGTCCCCGGCCGGGCCCGCAGGCTCCCCGCGCTGTTGGCGGCCCCGGCCCGCCCCCGGCCCGTCTGCGGCCTGTTGGCCCGGCCCGGGTCCGGCGGGCCGGGAGGAGCCCCCGGGGCCGGGCTGCCCGCGGCCCGCAGCTGCCCGAGGTGCTTCCTTTGCCCCGTGCTGTTTTCCAGGGAGGGCTCCGCGCGTTTCTTCGTGTCGGAGGCGAGGGCCGGCAGCCCCGGGGGCCGCGGCTGCTGAGGGGGCGCGGGCGCCATGGCCGGGCCCCGCGCTGCCGCCTTGCCCCGAGCTGCACCAAAAACATCTTTGCTGAGAGCCTGCCCGGGCTTCTCAGCGTACAGCACGGATCCTACAGGCAAAAAAAAAAGAGAGAAAATAGTGTTTTAAATGTTTTATTCCAAGTGCTTCAGAATGGGAAGATTTGAGGCTCTAATCCGTAAGTGAGGCCTTCAGCAAATAACCAACTCAATAAATAAATAGCTCAACAGATGAAGCACAGTAGAGCTCCTCGTCCCTCTACTCAGATATTGAAGGTTCAGTACAGGGAATGCAGCTGTGTGAACAAAACAGGAGATTTGCATTTTTACTTTATTATTGTTGCAAATTAAAAACAAACCCTTTTCTCCAACCCCTGAATCTCCAGGGAGCATCTGAGGAAACAAGGTTCACGTTGCATTTGGGATGCTTGTTTAAGAGACCATGACAGCAGAACTTTTTGGTTTTCCCATGCATGGGATGCCTGTTGACAATGTCATCCAGACTCTTGAGCGCCTTTGGATACTGCTGGAAAGGTCTTTATCCACAGATTTGGATCTCTGACTTGAGCATGTAGTAGCAGTAATTAGGCTAATGCTGCTGAGTAACAATTATTTCAAGGCTTTGCTTAATTTGAGAGGACATTTGAGAAAGAGGAAGTGTCTGAGAATCCAGGGGGAAAAAATAACGTAATGGCACTGTTCACACAAGCTGGGCAATCGCCTACACTTTCATTTACAGCTTCACCTTGATCTCTTGAGCCTCACAAAGAAAAAAATTACCAAAATATTTAGCCAGGCAGGAGAGAAATTTCCCCTGGCAGTCTGTTTTCCTTTTCCTTTAGACCTTCCCTGCAGGCTTGGAGTGAGCCAGCAGAGTTTTCACACAGCTCACCCACACACAGCCTGTCTGGTGCTCGCGGCCGTGGCTGTCCTGTGTAGGAGGCTGCTCCCAGCTCCTTGTGTGAAAAGAGAGATTTGACATACACAGATGAACAACGTCCTGGTTTATCTCCTACAACTGACTCAACTGCTGACCTTGCCACTTCTCCCCCTGTGCTCTCACCAGCTGCTGTCATGGGAAAGATTCCCTGATATTTGGGCCGGCCACACGTAAAGTCAAAAGAATGTCCATGGAGAGAGGGGTGGAAGAAGTCCAAGCTGCTGAATGCAGCAGGCAAGGGGGGTTTGGAGATGGTTCAGCGTGAAGCTGTGCCCTCTGAACAGGTGTCTCAGACTTGGGTGTGTAAATAAACCCTTCTACCACTTTATCACGCCTTCTCAGTCACGGATTGTATCAAGAAATAGTTCATTTTTCTCTGCTCAGTCTCTTCAGGACCTTGAGGTTCCTCCTCCTGTACCAACATATTCCTGTCTGGTTGTTGCAGCCTCAGAAATACGACTGCAACATAACCAACTCTCAGTGGAACAGATGTAAATGCTATTTCTGTTCTGTCAGTGAGGCACTAAAACCCAAACAAATCCATTCAGGACGCCTTGCTGCAAGGCACACTGAACATGTTAAAGGCAGTCAGACACCTGGAGTTACAGGTGAAGGGGACTAAAAGAAAACGGTCACATACAAATTATATATATAAAAATCCCAGATGCAGAAGCAAATCCAACTTCACCTGCCACTGGTGGCTGGCAGGACAGAGCAGCACCAGTTCCCTGCCTGCTTCTGCCAGGTGCTCTTAATTCTTCCCAATGCTGGCAAATTAAATATTGCACTCTACATTCCCATCCCACAAATGTTTCTTTCTTGAGCCCTTACTTGCTGAAAAGGCTGCAGGCTGGGGGCTGCCCGGTTTGCAGGAATGTCTCAGCCTCCCCTGCTCCCCGAGGCAGACGTGCCCCAGCCCCGTCCGAAGGGAACAGACTTACCAGAGGATGATCTAATGACAAAGCAGAGGAGCCAGAACACTCGGGCTGTCATTTTGAAGTAAAGTTTTTCCAGACTCAAAATGAGCTGGAGTCTTTTATGCCCTCCCCCCGATCCATGCTAATGAGAGGCAGCCTGAGGGGAAACGGGAATCACTGGCTGGACAACCCACTGGAGCAAGACCAAGCTGCTGCCTCACCAGCGTGCTCCTTCCCAAAGGGAGCAACCCCTGGCTGCATCACCTGTGTCCTGGGAATAACACACCCACGCGTGGTTCCGGCAGCAGGGTTTTATTTTGGGGAGAGCCTTGCCCTCCTCTGGTGCTCTGTAGGGGAAAATCACAGGGAACAAGCATGGTTTTGGTGGCTGTGGAGAGCTGTGTTCTGGGGGGCACTGGGAGATGCTGGAATACACCAGAGCCCCGGGATGCAGGGTCTGTCTGTAAGGATGTGCATGGCAATGGAACATATCTGGGGATTTCTGGCCACCTCCAGTGATACAGCTGCTAATCTCCTCTTTTACTTCCAGGAACCAGTTTCTGTGATTCTTTTCAGACTGAAAAATGCAGTAGTGACTGTCTAGTCCAAGGGAAAGCTCTGCTGATCCCACACAGCTTTATTTTTAAATCTCTCTTTGCCATCATGAAGAACTCTGCAAATTTTCACACACCAAGCCAACCCTGATTTGGATTACTGAATTAAGAAGGCTTATTTCTATGTGACCTTATTGCTACACAAGATTTCCATTGTGACAGTTTAACTCACCAGCTGCTGCTGGGTGCTGTGGAAGCTGCTCATGACTTTAAGGGACAATCAACAATTTAAAACTCCATAAAGGCACTGAAAGGCTCCTGAAACCCACCCTTGACAGGAAAATCTAACCCTCAGCAATGCCTGTGGCATGGGATTCAGCATTACTTAGTTTAAGCAGCTTGTTTTGTCCTGCCTTAATTAAACATTTCAATAGGATTCCCAAAAGCTTGGGGCTTTGTCTGCAGCAGCCATGGGTGAAGATACCGAAATTTCACCAGAATAGCATGGAAAATAAATGACATTTCACCACATCTATTGCTCAAGGAGTTACACTTTTACCGCAGCACTTACTAATCCTTGTTTTCCTCTGTTATTTGAAACGTTTTAATTCCAGAACTCTCCCAAGATAGCTATTACAGGAATAGGAATGTAAACTGAGGATGAGGGAGAGGAGGGCTCCTCCATTGCTTTGGTGAGCAGCAGGAACCTGCAGCAAGCAGCAGCTGGAGTGTGAGCGCTAGCACTGGGGAGGGAGGAGATGGAGGGATGGATGGAGGGATGGATGGATGGATGGAGGGATGGATGGATGGATGGAGGGATGGATGGATGGATGGAGGGATGGATGGATGGATGGAGGGATGGATGGAGGGATGGATGGATGGATGGATGGATGGATGGATGGATGGATGGATGGATGGATGATGGATGGATGGATGGACGGACGGATGGATGGATGATGGACGGATGGATGGATGGATGGACGATGGATGGATGATGGATGGATGGATGATGGACGGATGGATGGACAGACAGACGGATGGATGATGGATGGATGATGGATCGATGGATGGATGGATGGAGGGATGGATGGATGGGTGGATGGATGGATGATGGATGAGTGGATGGATGGACGTACACACACATGAGCATCCCACAGACCTGTATGCCAAGGGTTTTTCTGTTGAATTAGCTGGTGGTGCAATTCAACCCTCATTCATGTACGGCTGTGTCTGCACTGTTTCCCCAGACTCTCTGCCGGGGCAGGATCTCCGTTAAGAGCGCTGTAGTGGTGTTTGGAGCTCTCCCAGCATTCCAGCACCCCCGGGATGCAGCGGAGACGGAAAAGCTTTCCCAGCTGTGCTAGGCAAAACAAGGACGGAAAGCCACGTATTTGCCTAGTGTTCCCGTACACCAGCTGATGGAGACTCACTCGCAGTATCCCTGCCGGGAGGGTGGCTTCAGTAAGCGGTACGTTGTACGCGGGCATGGAGTGCTGGCAGGCCGGGCCCAGGGCAGCTGCGGTAAAAGAGTCGGGGGTCCCGAGCTCGGGGCGGCCCTGCGGCAGCGCCACAAAATAAGTGAGGCACGACCCAGATGGGACTCGAACCCACAATCCCCAGCTCCGGAGGCTGATGCCTTATCCATTAGGCCACTGGGTCACCCAGCACAGGCTGCGCGCGCCACCCAATAAGAGCTCCGCCCGGCCCGGCCCGGCTCCGCCCCCCCATGGGCCGTCACGTTCTCCCTGCTCGTGGCGGGCCGGCCACGCCCCTCCCTCCTCGCACACCATTGGTCGCGATGACCCCAAGGCCCCGCCCCGCAGCGCGTGCCCGCGGCCCCGCCCGCGCCTCAGAGCGGGTCCCCGCCCGCGGCGCAAGCGCGTCACTGTCAGACCCGCCCGGGGCCGCGTGAGGGGACCCGCCCGGGGTCCCGGCGGCTCCCCACTCGGCCTTCCCAGGGAACCCCCCCCCCCCCACACACACCTCCTCAGGGCTCCGTGACCCCTCACGCCCTTTTGCCTCACACACGCCTTCTGCTGCCCCACAACCTCACCCGCAGCTCGGCCGCTGTCCTGCCCCAGCTGCCCAGTCTCCCTCCACCTTCCTGTCACTTCACTGTGCTGGTAAAAGCTTTGGGCACTGTCGCCTCCCTCACAGCCTCACCGCTGGCAGCACCTCGCACACACTCCTTCGGCCATCCCAGGCACTGCCAGCCCTCTCCCTCCCCTCAACACCCATCCCTGCACCCAGATTTCACTGCTGCAGACCATGCACTGCCAGCGAGTCATGACCCAATGGAATTTCTTCGTGCCAGCTTTCCCATCCTTCACGAAAGCAGGTTTTTTACCTCCTTTTCTGCTTTTAAACTGCCTTTTTTTTTTTTTTTGTCAAACTACTCTTGTTTAACATCTCCATTTGTTAGCAATGTACTTCTTTTGGCTTCCCTGCTCTGTTTGTTTTGGTGGGTGTTTTTCACAAAGCTCATTGCTGCAAGGCCCAAAACCAGCTATGAGATGTCACTGGTAATTCCTCCTCCTCAGCAAACACCCTCCACACCTGTGTGCACCTACAGATTGACATAAGGGGTTTAATGTGATGGCTTAGCACACAGACATTGATGTGCATACCTGACACTTCTCTGTGTTGTGACTTATAGGTATCTCAAAATGTCAGAGTTGCTGTCAGAGTCATGTTTTCCCTATAGTTCTTTGGTTTGAACGTCTCCTGTGAAAATCAGTGTTCTTTTGTATTCCATCCCTCATGAGCAGGCCAAACCATCAGAAACAATCTCATCCCTTTTCAGGCCATGCCACAGCGGCAGGAATCCTTCCCTTTTGTTGTTCCGTATGGTTTGTTTTTCATCTGCCCTGATCGCTGTAGAACTGCTTTCAACTGCAATCTCATATCCCCTTTTCTTTGCATTTCTGTGCACCACATTTCTAGGAGACAATAAGTGAGGCATGGAGCCATGGAATCACGGAATGGTTTGGGTTGGAAGGGACCTTAAAGCTGATCCAGTTCCACCCCCTGGCACGGGCAGAGACACCCTCCGTTACCCCAGGTTGCTTGCAGCCCCATCCAGCCTGGCCTTGGACACTTCCAGGGATGGGGCAGCCACAGCTTCTCTGGGAACCTGTGCCAGGAAAGAATTTTTTCCCAATATCCCATCTAAACCCACTCTCTTTCGGTCTGAAGCCATTCCCCCTCGTCCTGTCACTGCACGCGCTTGTCCCAGGGGAACCCCGCTGGTTACTGAGGCAGAATCTGCGCTCTGCTTGAGGGAATGGGTGTTTCTGCCCCAAACCGCCACAGCCAGACCGCTCGGGGATACAATTCCCTCACGGCGATCCTCGCTCCCGTCCCGGGATATGGCACGGGCAGAGACACCCTCCGTTACCCCAGGTTGCTTGGAGCCCCATCCAGCCTGGCCTTGGACACTTCCAGGGATGGGGACCGCTCGGGGATACAATTCCCTCACTCCGATCCATCCGTCCCGGGATAGCAGCGAGCCCGGCCCCGCGCACTACAGCTCCCGGCGTGCCTCGCGCAGGTAGCGCCAGCAAGCCTCTGTGGGGCGGCGCGGGGCACGCCGGGAGCTGTAGTACCGGACCTTGTCTGCACGTCACGTCCGAGCGGCTCTTCCGGGAGGGCATTCCCCGTCATCGCGAGCCGGGCTGCTTTCAAACCGGCCAATCAGGAGGCTGCTTTGGCTCGAACTGGCCAATGGCAGCGCGCGGCCGCGGGAAATTTAAATGGCGCGTGGGGCGGCCGTGGGCAGTGGCAGCGTGCGGCAGCGGCGGAGCGAGCGGCGGCGCGTCCGGCCCAGGTGCGGGGCCGGGGCGGCGGGACGTGGGCCCTGCGCTGCCCTCTTGGAAAGAGCCATGCCTGCAATCCTTCCGGGGCCTCCCGCGTCCCTACTGTCTTCTCTGGGGCTGGCAGGGCTGGTGTATCCTAGCGCGGGTTCTCGCTCCGGAGGGGCTGTGGCCGAAGCGAAGCCGGTTCTCATGCCGGGGATGGCCGAGCTGCGGGGGTTTGCTTCGTTACCCGTGTGGCCGTTGTTAGGTGCTGCTGGTTGCAGCCGCTGTGCAAACGCCCTCCGGGGTCCTTGCCATTGCGAGAGCTCGCTGCTCTCGTCCAGAGAGGTCGGGGTGGGGCTGGGTGGGATCCTGTGCAGCGCAGGTATGTGACAGTGAAAATAGTATTGAACAGCGTCTGTGTATTGTCTGTGGAAAGGAAAATCTGTATTGCTCCTGAAAATAATAACTAATAGTATTTGATTTAAAGTATCTTAAAATCGCGTGACTGTCTTCTGCTTTTGCGTTGATGCTAGAGCTTGTTGTGACATCTGGCTGTTTAAAGAGACAGCTGTTGATCAAGTCAGATGTTGTTATAGTATTAATACAATCTATTGTCTCATTTTTGAGCATGGATCCAATTTTTAAAATTTAATTTTTTTTTCCTCTGTTTTCAGACTTGTTTTTATCTGTCCCGCTCGAAAATCTAACAAGCAAGATGTCTACTAATGAGAATACACCATCAGCTCGATTGAACAGGTTCAAGAACAAAGGAAAGGACAGCACAGTGAGTACTCTGGTGCAATTAGTACTTTAGCCAGCCATTGTCTCTAAGTTTTGAAAGCCAAGAACTTACTCTGAGTGTTTCTCCTCCAGGAGATGCGAAGGCGGCGCATCGAGGTCAATGTGGAGCTGAGGAAAGCTAAGAAAGATGATCAGATGCTGAAAAGAAGAAATGTGAGCACTTTACCAGACGATGCTACTTCTCCCCTTCAGGAAAACAAAGGCAACCAGGTAAGTGTGTACTTGGAATAGGCACACTTGGAGGGTCTTGCCATCTAAGGTCCTGCACCAGGCCTGCATGAATCCCTTCTCAAGGGCAGGCCAGCACTGCTACATCTGCATTAACAACTCAGGCCTGTATTATCACCTCTATCACCATTATCACCTCTAATGGACAGCACTCTTACCCTTCTCAAGGGCAGGCCAGCACTGCTACATCTGCATTAACAACTCAGGCCTCTATTATCACCTCTAATGGACAGCACTCTTGCACACAACTGGGGATGCCTTAAGATTTAACTTTCATATTTTTCAGGTTCTGTGCTCCTTTAGTGTATAACTCTGAGCTTCATATTAAGTGTTAGCAAGTTCCCTTCACAGGGTAGGCAGACAAAACAATCCTTTTCTATCCTGTCCTAGGACAGCTATTACA